ATATATATGAGTGTAACAACACAAAAAAAAAAAATATTTATCAAAATATAATATTTTTTTAATAAGAAACAAAATACTTTTATTATTATCATAAACAAAAAAATAACATTAATATAATATTTTTTCTATAAAATAGTGATAAATGATAATATAAAAATAAAAATGTCATTCCATTCAGATCTTATTCATTTTGCATACTAAACACATCAATGAAAAAACTTGTTTCATTCTTTTTCTATATTCATTCAATTGTTCAACTCATTCCAATCCTATCAAATTTCATTACATTATACCATCATGCCAAGGTTCAACGGTCCGACCAAGAATAATAGAACAATAATAAAAATATGTGAAAAAAAATAATTCAATTTTTAATATCTTTTAGGCTAAACTGACTAATTCTATAGCGAAAAATGTCATTTAACATTATTATCTCGTGCATCACACAAATGTACTATTTAAAGAAAAAATGGAGTGATTTATGAAGGAAAGAAAGAAAAAAAAAAAGCTTTTCTTATTTAAGTAAAAAATTTCATAAACAAACATGCTCTAAGTTTAGGGCCTACCTTCCAGATTTCCTTTTCTTATCTGAGGTTAAAAAGAAAAAGGCTTTTGTTATTACTGTCTGTAAAAATTTAAATGTAGAGGATAGATGGGATTTTGTGAGTCCTGTGGGTTTAAAAGGGGGGCTCCTTTTGTGCTGGTCTAAGAAAATTTCTGTTGTTAAAATCATATCCTCTTATTTGTGGTTTCAAGTGTGTTTTTGTTTTGAGGGGGAGAAGGATTCTAAATGGGCTATTTTTGTGTATAATAGTACTGATGTTAGGGAAAGAAAAAGATCAATGGCAATATTTAAGTGAGGTTAGTATAAACTGGGGTAAAGTGTGGTTCATAGCTGGAGATTTTAATGATATTTTATGTAATGAAGATAAAAAGGGAGGATTATGTAGAGGGGTAGCTAGTTTTGAAATGTTTAGAGAGTTTGTCACTAACTTGGGGGTTATTGAATGTAGGTAGGTGTAAGGGTCATCCTTATACCTGGTCAAATAACAGGAAGAATGATGAATTTATAGAAGCAAAGTTGGACAGATTCTTTCTATCCCCTGAATGGCTGTTTAAGTACCCCAACTCAACTGTCTTGCATATTCATTTGCTATCATCTGACCATAGTATGCTTGTGCTTGACACTGTGGAGGAAAAGTCTGAGGGTAAAAGAAGGTTTATGTTTGATAGAAGGTGGATAAAGATGGAAGGGTACGAGGAACGTGTGAAGCAGAAGTGGGCAGAACCGGTGGGAGGGCTTGCACTTTATAGTTTTCAAAATCGATTGAAGAAAGTTAAGGCTAGATTGTTGAAATGGGTGAAGACTCAAGTACCAAATTCTGCAAGGAGAATACAGAAACTTTCTGAACAGCTGGAATCACTCAGAAACCAAGGAGGTGAGAGAGATTGGCAGGAGTGGATGAAGTGCAAAAGAGAATTGCATCAGGCATACAGAGATGAAGAGAGCTTTTGGAGGATGAAGGCAAGAACTCAGTGGTTAAGAGAAGGAGACAAAAACACAAAATATTTCCAAGCTTGTGTTAAACAGAGAAGATATACAAATAGCTTGGAGAATTTGATAAAGTCTGATGGGGAAAGGTGTAAGAACAAGGAAGAAGCAGTTTTGGAGGTATCCCAATTTTTTGAGAATTTGTTTGCATCAGAAACATGTAAAGATAGTAGAGACATTTTAAAGGGGATTCCTCAATCAATTACTCCATAAATGAATCGGATTTTGTGCAAACCTGTGGATGAAAGGGAGATTAAACAAGCCCTATTTGACATGGACCCTGATAAAGCACCAAATTTGGATGGCTTCTCTCCTGCTTTTTTCCAGTCTTCCTGGTGTACCATTAAACATGACCTGTACCTTGCAGTATCCAGTTTTCTGGCTTCAGGCATTATTCCTAAGGATACTAAACATATTATCATTACTTTGATTCCTAAATCTAAAAACCCCAAGAAATTAATTGATTATAGACCAATTAGTCTTTGTTCTGTCACCTATAGAATTATTGCAAAAGTGTTAGCTAATAGACTAAAGTCTGTTCTAGGATCTTGTATATCCCATTTTCAATCAGCTTTTGTTCCAGGAAGACAAATATTGGATAATGTAGTTATTGCTAATGAGTGTATTCACTTTTTGAATAGTAAGAAAAAAGGCAAAAAAATGTTATATAGCTTTGAAGTTAGATATTGCAAAAGCCTATGATAGGTTGAGTGGGGATTTTTGCTTAAAGTTTGTAGAGTTATGGGATTTTGTGAGCAGTTTGTTTTCTGGGTTTGGTCCTGTATAAGTGGTACTTCTTTTTCTTTTAATTTTTATGGTCAAGTTGTGGGGAATGTTAGGGCTTCAAGAGGGTTAAGACAAGGGGATCCCCTATCTCCATATTTATTTATAATCCTTTCATAAGCATTATCAAACCTCATCAATCAGGCCTTTATTCATAATGGTTTCCAGGGTCTAAAAATCAGTGAACATTTTCCAGCTGTTTCTCATTTATTTTTTGCTGATGATTCTTTGATCTTTTGTCAAGAAGATCCATATCATGCTCAGCTTCTTTTGCAGATCTTGAAATCATATTGTACTGCTTCTGGTCAGGCTGTTAATATGTCTAAATCTAGTATATTTTTTTCCCATAATTCTTCTTCTGAATTGAAACATTCTATCTGTCAATATTTCTTTGGTATTGGTATTGTGAAATCTTCTAAGTATTTGGGTCTCCCACTTGGAATTGGTAAATCCAAAAAAAAAAAACTTTTAATTTTGTTAAGCAGTATGTTGTTTCTAAAATATCTAGTTAGAAAAATAGGTTTTTGAGTGAAGCTGGGAGAGATGTTCTTATTAAATCAGTGCTTAATGCATTGCCTATATATGTAATGTCTGTGTTTAAAATTCCTGTGGGGGTGTGCTGATATTTGTAAGAGTATTGCTAGCTTTTGGTGGGGCCAAAATGAAGGGGTTGTGATAAGATTCATTGGGCTAGTTGGGACAAATTGGCTAAATCAAAATTCGAGGGGGTATGGGTTTTAAACAATTTGGAGCATTAAATGATGCTCTTATTATGAAACAGTTGTGGAGAGTTTTGTCATGTCCTAATTTGCTTATGAGCAGAATAATTAGAGGTAAATACTTTCACAACAAGAATCTGATGAATGTGGAGAAGAGGAGTTCAGATTCTTGGATGTGGAAGTGTTGGCTTGGGGTGAGAAAATATTTGAAAATGGGGATGAGATATCAAATAGGAAATGGGCTAAAGGTTAGGATTTGGGATCATCCTTGGATTCCAAATTCTCCAGGGTTCATACCTGTTTGTAATTTTGAGGGTGATAAAACTACCTTGTGTAAAGTCTCTGATCTTATGTTGGCAGGGGGTAAGGGCTGGGATGAAGAGCTTATTAGGCAAACTTTCACTCCCTTGGACGCAGAAAATATTCTCCAAATTAACATCAACCAGGTGGGGAGAAATGATAGATTAGTTTGGGATGGGGATAAGAAAGGTAAATTTACAGTCAAAAGTGCTTACAATATGATCCTGAGATATATACAAGAACAACAACATAGGCACAAAGCCAGTGGAAGTCAGGACAAAACAAAACATATGTGGCAAAGAACATGGGCTTTACCAATTAAACAGAAGATAAAGACATTCATTTGGAGGTGCTGGCATGATTTTTTGGGAACAAAAAGCAATCTCAGGAAGAAAGGAGTGGAAGGAGAGACTGTCTGCAGCTGGTGTGGTGCAGAGGAGGAAACAATGGAACATATCCTTTTCTACTGTGAGAGAGCAATCAGAGCATGGAAATTAGCAGGCTTGGAATGGACTCAATTGCAAAAACAGCCACTGAAGTTTCAAGAATGGTGGAGGGACCTCTGTTCCATTAATAAAGATCAGAATTATAAAGACAGAGTAAGCCTCTCAACCTACATAAAACAACCTACATTTTATGGTGGCTGTGGAGGACCAGAAATAATTGAATATTCAGAGGGGAAAAGCTAGATGAGCATGACATGGTGCAGAAAGAAGAAGTGGAATGGTGGGAATTTGAAGAAGTTCAGCAGATGAATCAGAATTTCAGTAACAATGGAAAGGAGGAGAAGGGAAATGAAGACACAGATGGGAACATAGGAGTAGGATGTCTTGAAGCTGATATCATTGCTAAATGTTCACTGTCTGAGGGTTATCTGATGCAAGGATGGGCCTTTATCCAAGAAGATGAAGTAGACAAGTGGTGCATACCTATCCAACATAACCAGTTGACAGAGAGGGACAACTTAATGAAGATGAGATCATGGCTCATGAAAGGGATGGAAGTTGGCTGGGACAAAGTTGTGATTGTACTTAAAGATAAAAAGCTGTGCAATAGACTGAAAGATCCATCAAGTTTTCCAGTGGACTTACAAGTGGTGGTGGAAGACATTGGTGTTCTTTGTAACCTTTTTTATTCTTGTTATGTGTTCTAATTGTTCCTGTGTTTAGTATGTTTATTTGTTTGACCGAGGTGGTCATGTAGGGGGAGCTGCAACAGCATCCCTCGATGGTTTGTAATGTTTAAGCTTGGTAGGATTGATGCCAAGTATTTGTTTATTGGACCTTGTTCTTGAAATTTTAGTCATTAATAAATGTTTGGTTGTTGAAAAAAAAAAAAAAA